TGGTCTCTATGGCTGTGTGTAGACAACATGAGGGGCATGTGTGCACGAAACTGTAAAGTGGGTTAAATGCTTTTGCACCACTTCAATGGTGTTGGTGTTTGCACGCATCAGTGGTGTATTGCGCAGAAATTCCAGCTGCTGTAGTGAATTCAGCAGCATAATGCACCTTAAATGACTTGGGGAGCAGCAAACTAAAACTCCTCTGATGAGTTTTAATTTGCTGCCCTACAGCCACAGAGCGAAGCACTGGGCTCCGTGGTGCTCAGGGGCTCTGCAGGAAGCCCTGCAGGCAGCTGGCAGCAGTCTGGGAAGGCAGGTTCCCCCCGAGAATAAAAAACAAAAACGGGAACTTGACCTTCCCCAGTACCCACCCAGGAGCCTGCCTTCCTGAGCTACGCGGAGGCCCGGTGTTTCCCTCTGTGGCTGCAATGCCCCTGGGGACTGCCCAAGCCGGGTGCCTGCAGGTAGGTGCTGGTGCTGCAGAGGGAAACACCAGCCCCCCCCTGCAGCCCAGGGACCGCTCCACTCACTAGCAGCTCACCCTCCCCTCCCCTCCCCACCACTGGGGAGGCAGGTAAATGCACGGGTGTTTTTACTTGGGTGTGTTTACAACACAGGGGTTTACTTGGCCCTAAAGGGGTGTTTTTAAAAACCCACCACTTCAGTTTAGGGTCCCTGTTTCATCTGCATACACCCACTATTACAGTTTCATTGGGTCACTATATGCCTCCTGGATTTACCATTGCACTGGATTTTGACAGAAGTGTTTTCCATCAAAAAACATAGTTCTGTTGTAATGAGAATGCTTCATGGAACTGTGGATATTATGCTGAAATGTCATTTAGGAGAAACATGAGGAAAATTCTTTGGTGATAAATGATATTTCGCTTCAGTGATGCTTATTTTATATTAAAATACAATCCTACATAAAAACAAAGTATAAACAAATGTTATGTGCCTAAATTAAACCTTTTGAGTGATCCATACATTTTTAACATTTTCTTTCATAGATCGTTCTGAAACACAAATTCAGAATGATCCATGAAAGAAAATTTAGCTTCTGGACCTTTGCAAAAGACCTGATTATCTTGATCAAGACAAGAGTGCAGAGAATGAAATGAGCAGGCTGTATCGTGAGAACTAATGAGAGAAGGCATGAAGCAGATTTCGGAAGTGGAGGTGGAGAGTATCAGATCTCAAGGTAGACTGAGGCAAGGATGGGAAGATAGGTGGAAATTGGAAGGAGATTGTGCAAAATAGGAGGAGATGGAAAGCTGTAGTTAAGGTGGTTATGGGCCCCTGAGGCCTGTGAGACCCAAGAAAAAGAAAAAGAGAGAAAGTGAAAGATTATTCTGAAATTCAAGGGGGTCGTTCCAAATCAGAATAAACACTAATATTGAAATCTATAGATCCTCTCTCCAGCTCTAGTTTTTTGTTTTAAGTTTTGTCTTATACTTTGAAGGGTTTTGATACTATTCCTTACATAGCAATTTCAGCAAATCTCAACTTTATAGTTGTTAAAACTGAGGCACAGAGAAGTGACACGACTTGCTTGTTTTCACTCAACCTACCAGTAGCTGAGACAGAAGGAGAACCCAGATCTCTGGAGTCATAGCCCAGTACTTTACTAGAATCTGAGTTATTGAAGAGCACAGAGATCAAATCACTAGCATCCACTGGGAACGTCTACATGTGCAGTAATGTGCTGTAGGTACTGCACATTAAGTTTAATACCTATAAGAAGAGGTGCTAACTGAAAGTGCAGTAACTGGCGCACACCTTTTTAGTGACACTAATGTGCAGTAGACTAATTCTACTGTGCATTAGTGCAATAGTATGGCTTTTGCTGTGATATGCTAATGCACAGCAGAATTAATCTACTGTGCATTTAGCATCTCATGAAGGTGCACCCACTGACTGATACCAAGAAAAGTGTAATGAGCCAGAAAAATGCAGTTACAGCATAGCCTGAAGAAGTGTTTTATAAAAGAATGCTGGGCACATCTACATGAGATGCTATGTTGCTTTAGTGATGAATTACATCGCCTTAGCTCATCACTATGGTGACGTAGCATCTAAAAATAACCAGGCGCCGCCAGTACTGGGCAGTACCGGTACATACTGTGCAGTCATTTAGTACTTGCTTTAAGCAAGTTGACAGTTTTTAAAGGTAAATAAATAAGAAGTGGTGGTTACAGAGAAGGAAATACTCAGTGGGCATGTCTACATGAGCCCCTGACTGCGCATTTGCTACTGCACAGTCATTTAGTACTAAAAGCAAGGACTAAACGCTGAAGCAAGTACTAAATGACTGCACAGTACCAAATGTGCAATCAGGGGCACGTGTAGATGTGCCCACTGAGTATTTCCTTCCATCTAACCACCACTTCTTATTGATTTACTTTTTCAAATATCAAGCACACAAAAGTGGATCAAAGAGCAGTCTCCCCCCTTCCATTCATTGTGGATTGCACAGGAAGAGTAACCTGCCATTTGCTGTGAAAGACTTAAAAAGAGAGTCAGCTAAGAGGTGTGAATCAGATGTCCATACTCACTGACATTTCCAGAAAGCACCATAAGTGTAAGTTATGCATCACGAAACTTGGCCAGTGCTGTAGAACATGACACTTTTGTACTCCATTAATTCACACACCTCATAACTGGCACTCATGAAATGGCAGACTTATTCCAAGCTTCAGCAGGCATGCAGTGATTTAATAGCATAGTAAGGTGTTGAGGACTCATCTTACTCAGGTTTTTTGCTTTAACTTGAGTCCTACCGAGCATTCATTAGTATATTAAAGAAGCTTTATAATAAAAAAAAAGTGAACTACAGTTGTCAGACAGATAAACAAAACAAGTTGTACCTGAGCATAAGGTGCCAGGCATAATATAAGAACCTGACTGAAATAGCCTAGAACAGGATGATGTGTTAAATTAGCTTGGCTTTTTCACTATGGCTGTTCAAAATGATACAATTTGCGACAGCTATGCCAGCTCCCAATGGAAACAGCAATAACTACTCTTGTCATTCACTGTATAGTGGCCCAGTCATGGCCCATCAACCCATTGTCCCAAGTGCTGTAACCACAGTAGAAACAATGGCCCCTGCACCAAAGTGTGGTTCTACTGTATGGGTATGAGTGTGGCCACAACTCTATAAAGTAAGGAAAATTTGTCTTTGCTTTAGAAATTATTTCCTTCCAGCCCAGTAATAGCTAACATAAGAAATATAAAATTACACTTAAAAAAAAATAATCAAGGAGCAATTTTTTTTATTCCAGCATAAGCTTTTTCCCTTCCCTTGCTTTCTGTCTCAGGCAAGCTATGCTGCAAGACAGAACATTTCACATAGCTACAGTAGGGATGTGTAGAGAAGAGAAGTGTTACTGATGCTCCTTAAAAATGGTGTTTAGATACATATCTTACTCTATCTCAGTTTAACACTTGATAAAAGTGGACATCTGTGAACAAAAATGCTAGGCAGGCAGGGCATCTTCACAAGCCTAATTCATTCCAAACCACAGAGGAAAAGAAAGATTGTAACAAATTCAGCTGCATGTGCTTCTCTATCAGAAGTAAGCAACATTTTTTCACAAATGTATGTTGATTTTGTTTTGGGGAAGGGGAACATTAAAATCACCCCCCCATGTAAACAATGTTTTAAAAATGTTTTGATTTTAAATGTTAAAATACCTTTCCTTGGTTTTATTTTTAGAAATGTCCTTTCATTTTCCAGGTTTTTAAAAATAAAATATCCAATTATTAAAATTAAAATCTTTGAAAGGTTTCAAAATCAAAATTAACTATTACATTTAATGTCAAATGAAATATTTCATTTCAACAAAATCAAAACAATCTTTTGTTTTTATATTCAGGACACATTTTTTCACCTTTCTGAGTTTGCAAATTAAAAAAAAAACAGTTTCAAGTCAGCACAATTTTTGTTCAGAATGTTTAGTATTGCTGAGGGTGGGGGGGAATGTTATTTGCTCAGCTCCTTTCTCTCCATTTTACACAAGGCTGATAATGCTGCCTATTATATGATCATCTGACATTATACTGCTATTTTCAGTTGCTTATAACTTTGTCAAGTGTTAACCCTTTGGGTAACTCGAAAGCTTGCTTAATAACTATTCTCCAACTATTTGGGCTGGTCTAATAAAAGATATCAAATTCACCCAAGGAACCTTGTCTGCCTATGTCCTTAGGCCAACACGGCTACAACCTACACCCCTGCAACCCTTTGGGCTGAGATTTTATACCTGCCAGGTGGCTACCTCAGGCTGATTTGTGTTTTTGTTTGATATTCTCAGCCATATCTGAGACTATAACTAGGGAAATATGCATGTTAACAAACTCTGGAGACTCTCTTTGAATTATTTTAGTGCTCTCAGGTTAATGAAAAGGGAATAAAAAAACTGGCAAGGAGATGTGTATCTTAGTAGGGGTGTGCCTTTTGCCCTGCCCATAAAAATCTGCCCAAATGTGGTCAGTTAGAAGCCTTTGGAAAACTGCAATTTGCAAATACTCAGTAGAAACGTCAGTTCAGCAGCTAAAATCTCTGAGGATACTATCCTTGACTCTCTCACAGCTCCTAGTATATGTGCCACCCCCACAGAGGAACAGAGCATTTCTTTTTTCACTCCTGGCACTTCCTAACTTTTTCCATTGTTGCCTTTGCAAACTTAAGAATATCCTTTCAGTACTGAGGGGGTGTGTGTGTGTGTGTGTGCATGAGGGTGCACACATGCATTTTTGTGTGTTTGTGTACCTATCTATTGATGAACACTCTCAGAAGTGCACATTCTTTGCTGCAGTTGCATTCTGTGAAGCCTTGCTCAGGCGTGCAAACCAACTTTTGCAGAAATGCTCAGCGTGTCTGGAAGCTGTAAGACAATGTACCAATGCTAAATAAAGAGACAGTGCTGGGACACAGCTGACATGGCATGTCCCAACACTTACTTCCAGGAAGGGTGCAGCTGCATTCCTAGATTATACTCCAGAGCAAGGAATAGCTGCCACCCCGGCACATTAGAGACTTTGGGGTAAGAGCTAACATTGTTTGCATGTCTTCTGTCTTACTGAAAATGTAAAAGCATCTAAATCGCAAATGATTGTCTGTTTTAAGTAGTCTAGTTTAACTATGTAGCATTTAATGTCCTAGGGATTTTTGCCTGTGTTGGGGGAGGAGTAGAAGTGATCACCCTGGGGGGAAATGCTGCAGCACACCTGCTGCTACAGCTTTTCCCATCTGCACACCTGGATGACACTGCTGTTTGGCAAAGGTCGGAGGAGGGACAAGCTGTATAGTTACACTTCATTCCAGCCTTTCCACACCTGAGGCAGTTCTATGAGGGAGAAACTTCTGCTCAATCAGGAGTATAGAAACTCTGGTTAGGTGGATATAGGGCTGTTGAGCAAGATCACAATGGTGGGAGGATACTGGCAAGAAAAGACCTCTTCCAACAATGGTGCTCATATCCTCCTCTCTGTATACACAGCACAACCCTTAGCTGTTAATTCTGTTGATCAATCAGAAGCACCAAACTTTTAGCTCCATTTGTTTTCATATTGTTGTGAAAAAGTTAAAAATAAATCAGTGTTACTTTAGAACATGTCAAGGGTGTTCGATTCTCTTTCCTCCCATTACTTCATCCTTGGTGGCAAAAGCTCTCAGGAATCAGCACAGAGGGTTTGCTATTGTGAGTGCAAATTGGCAAGGTTATGAGACTTGCCCTCATCTCATCATTGCAGACTGCTGTTTTTCAGGCACGCCAATCAATCCATGTACAAAATTGGTCCCAACACACACCCTGAGCAGCTGGGCAGGAAGAGTAGCCAAGCAAATGCTCTTCTGAGGCTCAGTAAATACTGCTTCTTGGATCAGCTTCCCAGAGAGAGCTTTGTAGTACCATTAACAGTACCCTTCATACTAAAGGGCAAAGCTACATCTATCTTCCAATAACTACAATGTAGGGAGAGTCCAGGATCAGGCTCCCCCTGCTTCAGCAATAAGTCATGATGGAATCTAATGTCTGATCCACACAATCACTCCCCTTGCTATACCAGATGTGCAAGGTAGGAAGCATGATTGTGGGATTGCCCATTTGATCCCATTGGCTATGGACAGAAGTTACACATAAACCAGTTTATGTGATCAGAAACTGGTTTTAACCTTTAACAGAATATAAATTCAGTGCACATAAACTGGTTTCAGAATGGCTAAAACTGGTTTACAATAAACCTGGTTGAATGTAATATCAGACTTAACTGATTTGTGTCAAACCGGTTTATGCAACTTCTGTCCTAGACCCCTTGCTAGTTCAAGTTAAACCAGAGTCCTTCAATCAGAGAGTACAGCCCTCCAAGCATGGTGCTGCTAAGGCTAAGGGGGCAGGGAGGGGTTTAATTCCCCCCACACTGGGGAACCACAGCCGGGGCAGAGCACCCTACCCCCCCACCACCAAGGGGTGGGGAGGGGCTATGTGAGTTTAGAGGGGGACCCTTTCTTTTCCTTCTCAGATATATGAGCCCCTGCTGCACCTCCAAGCTGGCCTGGGTAGCCTGCTGCCCAGCCAGCCACTGTCTATGCATGCCAGGCCAGGCCACACTCACTGACAGGGCTCAACTTCCCTGTCAGTGAGCCGCAGCCTCTGTGGAGGGCCCTGCCCCTGTGGACCTCCTGGCTCCACCTCAGCCGGGGCTGAGCCATGGGAGCAAGACCTTCCCCAGCAGCTGCAGCTCATTGACAGCCACTCCCTATGCCTAGGCTGGGCTGGGCTAGGCAGTGCCGCACAGGGCTCCCCTCCTCCCCCACACTGTGGTGGGGGAAGGAGGGAGAAGAGTCCCACCCCCCTGAGGCTGGGCAGTGCCACACAGAGCCCCCCTCCCCACCCCATTACAGCACTGGGGGTGGAGGGAGGAAGGGGGAAGGGGGAAGGGGAAGAGTCCCCCTCCAGCACCACATAGAGCACCCCCTCACCACAGGGGAGGTGGAAAGTCTCCCTCTGGGGCCAGTCAGTAGTAGGATAGAGGAGGTAGAAGAGTCCATCTCCAGCACTGCACAGAGCCCCCCTCCCCACCCTGAGGGCCAGGCAGCGCAGCATGGCACAGAGCCTCCCTCCCCACCTTGTGGTGGTGGCAGCAGGAGAGAGGGAGGAGATGGGGGGGAAAAGTTCTTTGGGGCTTGGCATCTAAGCTATGTTCCCAAATTACTTTTGGCTGTCAGGGAGCCACTGCGATGGGCAGGGCTGTCCCACTCCTTCCTCCTAGCCACTGGGGTCTGGCCATGCCCCCATCTGCTGATGGGGCTTACTGCCATGGGGACCACACACAGCCGGAGCTGAGTCCCAGCAACTGCAGGACTCTCATCCCTGGCTCCATGTGTGGTCCTGTCAGCCACGGGACTCTCAGCCTGGGCAGCCATGAGGTGCTGCTGCAATCTCCCAGCCCTGTGGGTGGGTGGGGAGACCCATGCCTGGAAGTTTTCAGTGGCTTGGAGATTGCAGCAGCTTTGATATCCCAGCCCTGGAGACTGCTTGGAGCACCCCCATGGCTGGGTGATAGAGGCTGCTGCAATCTCCTAACCATTGTGATCTCTCAGCCAAGGGGCAACCCACATACCCCAAGGACTGGTAGATTGTAGCAGAACCCAACAACTGGGGTATCACAGCAGCTGCAGTCTCCCAGCTGCAGAATGCCTACACATGCAAATTAAAGGTGAGAAATTAAAGAGAAACCAGCTATAAAGTTATTACACATTTTTGAGCAATAACTTTATAGCTGGTTTGACTTTTTAAAGGTGTCACAGTTAATTTGCATGTGTAGCCAGTCTAAATATATTGTGAAATTAACAAGGAAATTGTGTAATAGATGTAAGGTATAGAGGGGCCAAAAAGACATCTTCAACTTAACTTTAAATTGTCTTGCTCAGATACCATAGCAGTCTAGCTACAGCAGCACACAGCAAAGTATGGGCCAATTTGTCCTGCTTAACACTGCTCTGACTTCAGTGTAGCTATACCCTGAGAAGGCCATTTAGCTGTCAATGGGCACATCTACACATTCATTAATGTGCCATAGCTACTGAGCATTAAGTTTAGTACTCGGTTAACCAAGTACTAAATCAATGCGCAGTAACCCGTGCTACTGTGCAGTACACCAGTGCATGGGTTTTTAGTGACGCTTACTGCACAGTAGCCTAATACTTCTCCACAGTAGCATATTAGCGCATTTTTTGCCTGGCAAGCTACTGCACAGTGTTATTAGGCTACTGTGCAGTTAGCATCTCATGTAGATGTGCACAGTAGCCAAGAAAGGAGGGCCTTGACCATGCAGTGATTTTAGCTAGGCTTGTCCATTCCTGCACACTTCAGTATGGATGTAAATATCAGCATATTTATTAGGTTTTTTGTTAATGGCATTTGGCACTTTCACTCCTGAGGTTCAACCCCAGTTTATCTTTGCATTGAGTGGGTGCATCTACACATTAATTAATGCACCTTTGCTACCAAGCATTAAGTTTAGTACCTGTAAAATGAGGTACGAGATTAAGGTGCAGTAACTGCCCTAATGTGCAGTAGCAAATGCAAACCTTTTTTTTGTGAAACTTAATGAGCAGTAGACTAATTCTACTGCACATTAGCACATTAACACAGTTTTTGCTGTGATGTACTAAGGTGCAGGAGAACAGTCCACTGCACGTTAAGGCGTGACCAGTGAAATTTTGATCACATTGCTCTTTTAAGAGTCTTCAGGATTAGGTCCAAATTTTGAGCAATAAAAGTCATATTTAGCTCTTGTTATCTTACATAAATCTGTTAAATGGCCTTGTTCAGCAAAGCATTTAAGTGTGTGCTAAAGACCTATTGTTCAGCAGAACACAGAGGTTTTTGCATGTATTATTTGCTCTATATCCTTAACATGTAGCCTTCTGAGAGGAAAGTGGATTAGTTTCCATATTATTAGGATTTATTATTTGTTGAGCGCTGACAGTACACTTCAGTGGGACTTAAGAAAATCCTTAAAGTTGAGAATGCTTTTAAGTGTATTGCTGATATGAGGCCAGAAAAATTAATCCCAGGCAATTTTTTTTGGTTGGACAGTGTCTATGCATGATATCACAAAAAGGCAATCTTTAATTGTTATAAAACAGAAAATCTAAGTGTTTGCTCTGTAGATCTATTTAAAAATAAAGAGATGAAATTCAAATATTTCTCATTTTTGACATTCCAGTGTCAAACTAAAAATATTACAACTGCCTATACAATACTCTGAATGTAAAGCTAGAAAAGTAGGGACTGCCTCTGGGCAACTGGAGGCACATATCTTCCCATAGATAGATGAAAGTATAGAATGGCAGTATACCATCTGGGACCTTGAAACAAACAGTCCATCCTGATTGAGATGTTATTCTTCCTAGAAAGCTTTGCATTTGTCCAGAATTTTTGTTCTGAATGGAGCCAGTCGGTGCTCAACAAATAATAAATTAAAAAAAAAAACAACTCTGGAAAATATTCCACTTTGTTAACAGTATGCACATACACACACATACAGAAAGCCACGGGCACAGGAAAATGATAGATGATCAAAGCAAGGCAAAAGATGGTATGTTTCTATAGCATTCAGTTTTGACACTAATACTCAGAGTTACTGAGCATCTGGAAATCCCACTGCCATCACTGTAGGCTGAGACAACTCCTTACATCTCAGAATCTGGCCCCAAACTCTTTAGGGCTCTTTTGTCTTTTCTAATATATATAGATTATATATATTTTTCTATGATATTTTATAATATATATTCTCTATTATATTGGCTATTAGAATGGGGCCCTACTGAATGTGATGGCTAAGAAAAATGATTATGATTGTTGTTGATGTTAGTTGCCTACACACAGCTCTGAAAGGCCTGAAGATTGCCTTTATTATGATTTAATAACTATACTTGAGAGGTTTTTTTTTAAGGTGATGCAAATAATTCACTATAAAGTTCCTGAAAATTCTTCTGGAATGTAACAATATAAATGAAGAGGAAATATTCTATGGG